CTACTAACTTATTTTAGTTTAGTAGTACCTAACTAACTACGGTACGGTTACGTACGTACGTCCACTACGACCGTACCGGACCGGTACGTATAGTACTACTCTCTCTCTCTCTCTCTCTCTCTCTCTCTCTCTCTCTCTCTAGATATTTAAATATACATGCGTGTGTGAATGTGTTCCAATTTCAAATGAAACATGGTTTATACATTTGCATTTATAGATGTTGGATGCAGTAGCTAACAAGCAATTTTTTACAGAAATCCAGAGTATCTATATACATAGTGAATTACCACAAAAGCATCACAGTGGGCATTAAAGGCAATAAAATACCTTCAAATAGTGCACATCGCTCCCACATATACCCACTGCTTTCATTCTCACTCTGACTTCATGTGGACCTGCACAAAAACAAACACTTACCATAAGCCAAAAGAACCCTCGCAAAATACATGCACAGTCCCTGCAAACTAAAATCAGCAAAAAGAAAATGGAAAGAGAAGAACAAGTGAACACATCTCAAAATAACAAAACCCTAACCTAATCAGACCCAGAAATGGAAAATCTCGAAAGGAAAGATAAAATAGAAAAGAGAAAGGATCCAAAGACAATTCAAATTCGAGATATAAACATCATATCACAATTCACACATAAAAGAGACAGATAGATACAGCTATACAGAGCGAGATAGAGATGGAGAGATATAAACATCATGTCATAATTTACACAATCCAGATAGATAAACAGAGATATGTGTGTGTGGAGAGAGATTGAATCAAACTATTAAAGTCCCAATGAAACAGAGACAAAACTCACCAAGAGGAGGGAGCTTGAAAGGCTGAATCTTGAGAGTATTAACACCAAGAAGCCAAGCAGCCATGTTCTCAGGTTCCCCTTCTTCTGAAACTCCATGAGACATGGCCCCTTTACCCATGTTCTCTAAATCTATCACTACTCCTATTCCTTCTGCAAAAGCTCTAACCCCTGCTACTATGACTGCTATATAAAAGAGAGGAGCTCGAGCTCGAGCTCTAGCTCTGTAAAAAGAGACTGAGAAGTGGCGTTGTCATTAAAAGGGTGGCAATCTTGTCGTGATCCTCTGAGAAAACGTAGGGATTTTTTGAAGTGTCAGAGAGATACGGCCATGTTTTTCTGATGGACAAGTTGGGATAATCCATATATAATATATAAATTTCAAACGGATATAGACGTAGTGCCCGCTCTCCATAACTTACAGTCCACGTAGACCCTCGGGATCCACGTGGTCCCCGCACTCCTTAACTTACTACACCCTTTTTCTCTCGGAAAAAGTTTTATCTTAAACTTTTGATGCTCAATTATCTTATCATCTCGCCATCTACATGCATGCACATAGACATTGAGTAGAAAATGGATTTCAAGATTTGAAAATAATCCATCTCGTAATGTATTTTTAGACGGTCAATTTCTAAGATTTTAAAGTTTTCATAAATATGCTCGGTCTACACTATTTTTTAAGCTTTAATTTTTATAATTAAATATGAAATATGTTTTAAGGCTATCGCAAAGACTTCCGATATTAAAATCATATTTTTCGACACTCTTTGAAAGTGTGCTTTACTTTGATTGTTTAAAACCTCGGCTCAATATAAACCGCAACCTTTTCTCTAAAAGAGTAAGAGAATGTACGGTAAGCTGAAAATAAGGCCAACACACTTCCAGTCTTCTCTACGATGAAATTGATGAGTTTAGTGTCTATGGACATCTATCCACATTCATTAGGATATAATTTAAGAGTTGCGACTTGCTGGTCCTCCTCATGCAAATCTACTTTTGAAATAGCAAGCACACATCACAATGTCACTACACGTAGTATCATCATCGTTATCGTTAAAGCTTTTTTTTTTAACTAATTGGAGTCGACTACAAAAATTATGTTGTGTCATTCTACTCTATTAAGGGATTGTACCCTCAGTGAAGCTATAAGTTTCTATATATTTTATTACTACTTCGAACCATGTTTTTTTGGGCCTACCCTTTGAACTAACTTATACCTCTTAAGAAATATCATACTGGATCTGCACCACACATACCCAGCACACTTAAGTCTGCTCTCCCTCATCTATCGTTATTCATAGTTTGACTACATTAAAGAAAGTCAATTAGGGAGTTGATCGAATTTACAGTTCATAAACTTGCTTCCGATTATCATACAAGCCTTAGGGATAGAATGCATGTCGAGTTTCTCGACTCTTGCTCCATTCATATGAGACAGTACACATATGTAGCACTAAGAGAAGTGAAAATATGCACAATACCACTGTGCAATTTCCAAATACCATACCACTATGTGGTTTACAAATACCATAAGCTAAAACAACATGCTAAAAGTAAAATTCGATATATTACAATGCCATGCATTGACACTATTACAAATCCTTGGGCCAAAACCATGGGACAAAACCACTATCTAGACTATTGCAAAATCATAAGTAATAATTACACACTTCTTATTCATCTTTTCTTTGAATATATATGAAAATATATTTCTCCCAACTTGAATATCCCAGCATTTTCGTAATGAAGATATTTCTTCTTAAAAGGATTAAATCATCTAAAACTTCTATTTGGATTAGGTACATAATAACTTTCGTTCAAGATATGCCCATCTGAAATTAATTACAATAACACTTGTTCTCCCAACTGATGCAAGAAATCTGTCGATATTGGGGTATACTCCGAATTCATGTATGGGGCTTCAAGAAACATTTGTCTTATTTTTTGGCAAAATATTTGCTTTCTGTTGGGGTGTAGGGGAGGATTTTTCAGCCATTCATCTTTGGGTATTGCTCGCATCATTTTCATTTATTGAGTAAGAGAATCAGGAAGATACTGTTCTTTTATGCATACTTTCTCAATGGAAAAATAATTTTTTTCTTTTTTCTTACTTTTATAGCTTTTTTGGTTTTCTTATATAAAATCTCGAACATAATTGAAACAACGATTGAATTTTTGGCATTGAAGCTTGTCTTGCATCTTGTTTGAAAACTTCTCTATTTTCTGCAGCACATGTAGTTGCAAGTTGTATCTGGACTTTTGAAATATGGACTACCAAAAAATCAATAGAATCTTTGGCAATTTATAATTAAAATTTTGAGGATGAAAAGCCAATTATGTGCTTTTGCATAATTTCAGCAAAAACTTTTGGATGCTCCAAGTGTTCCTGCATGTCATTAGAGGTGACAAGAAAATAATCTATATAATTAGCATGATTTTTTAATATGTTTTGAAAATAGTTTCCATTCTTCTCTGAAACTATGACAGGGCATTTTTTAGGCCAAAGGGCATCACCATCCATTCATATAGTCCTTTTAGAGCAGAGAAGGTTGTTTTATGAATATCAGCTTCTTCATTATTGAACAGGTGATAGCTTGATTTACAATCAATTTTGGAATTTTCTTTGCCACCCTCTGTATCAATTCTTATTTATTCAGAGGCCACTTATATCAATCGTTAGTTGATATATAGGAGTATAATTAACAAACATGCGAGCATTTCCTCTTTTTTCTCTTAGTGATTTCTAACGACAAAAGCGACACATGAATAATTTGATTGTGGTGGCCTGATTAATCCTCTGCTTTCAATTCTTTAACTTGTGATTTTAACTCTTCTTCATCCTCCTTATTACACTTAATTAGTTTGCTCAGAACTGGAATGTTATAAAAGCTCAATAATTCTCTGTCAAATTAGCAAATTGGAACCTACTTCCAAACTCATGCCCTTGATTTATTTTATAAATTCACATTTTCATGCTCCATTTCTAGTTTTTGGGCCTCTTTAATAAATTTTTAACATTGAAGGATTTCCTTGCAATATATTTGTCCTCGTTTTGAAAGATGGGAGCACTCTGGGGACAATTTATTTTCTCATTCTATAATAAGAATTAAATTATCTTTTGAAACTGTATTGGCCAAATCCCACCAAGGGTTACTAAAACAATTTCAGCTTGATATATCTTCTATTGTGTTAAGAAAGTTAACCATAATTATATTTTCTCTAACATTGATAGGATCATTTATGGCAAAAGTCGTTATCCTTCTACCATTCATGACATCAATTATGGACCTTGAGGGTATTTTAAATGCTCTTTCTGTGATTCCTTGGCGCAAACAATTATATTAGCTCTTGTACAATAAAAGAGATTGTATATTATGAGACTATTTATCTTTGATATAAGGAGATCACAAATGTAACTAGATATTAGATACCAAATTGAATGGCTTTGGTATGTGTTAAAAAGTTTGAGGTTTTTTGTTTGAATTTTGAGTCTAGTCAATGACACAATTACAACAACCTGATTTGAATTCAATTTGAAATATGACAGACGAGAGTAATCGTGATCTCTTTTATTAAAAATAAATAACCTATTTATATATATTTTTGTAAAAAAATGTATTTTAATAGGGCTGTAGCCCTATCAAAACAAGTAAAGCCTCACTTCACAACTCATTGAAAATTGCAATTCAAGCATTAGAAAACCTTTACATCAATCGTCTTGGCTTGAACATTATGGTTTTGAAAAAAAAAAGGGGATTCCAAGCTCTAAAAATAGTGTATATTATAACAAATTATGTAGATCGTCCATTTATCTTTAAAAATAAGTGTTCATAGATCCGCAAGAGTTGTACCATTTTTTGAGTTTCAAAATTTATTGTCGGTGTTGGAAATTGATTTCAGAGTCATCATAGAGATTTCTGTTACCGAAAGTGAGATGAGGTTTTATTTTGTTTTCATACAGCTTAGGTCTTATAAAAGCCTCATCCATCCTTATCCAAAAAGCACATTCCACAATAAAAATCTCTATGATGCCTTTAAAATCAATTCTTCATATGAAAAGCACTTTAGGACAAGATGGACATTCTAGATAATTTGTTATAATATACAATACTTTTAGAGTTTAAAATTCTAGTTTTTTTTTTTACAATCATAATATTGAGGTTGAGATGATCTATATAACATTTTTTCAATGCTTGAATTGTAACTTTCGATGAGTTGATGTGAGGGTTTACTTATGATAGGGCCGTTGCCCTGGAAAAATTTATATAGAGCTTAGGCTCTAAACAATCAAATTAGAGCATACCTCAAAATTTTTACTGGAAGAAGTTGTTTTGATGCCAAAATTTCATCAAATTGATCATCTCGATATCAAGATGCATGAATATGAAAAAAAATGGATTTCAAGTATGAGAAAATAGTATATCTTGTAACACATTTTTGAAATGTCAATTTTCACGATTTTCAAGTTTTCATAATTCTGTTTGATTTACACTATTTTTGAAGCTTTAAATTTTCTTAAATCTGCTCGATTAATATATAATTTAAAGCTATATCAAAATTTTCCAATATTGAAACCATATTTTTCGACAGTATTTGAATGTAGGCTCTAATTTGATGTTTAGAGCCTCGGATTCCAATATAGGAAACGTTAAAATGGGAAAGTCGGTAATGAAATTTCACTGGTGAAGTGCAACTTTTGGGGAAAAATTTACAGCCCTCTCCCATCCCATTCCTCATTCTTACTCGCTCCACTACGAACTGAGGTAAGCTCTAACCCTAACAACTGAGATGGTAGGTTTCCTTATTGCATTAGAGCAAGTTGCAGAGAGAGATGGCACTAATGCTGCAAAGTTGTTGAATGGTTTCAAGAAAAAGGCTCCCGTCAATGCCCCTAAATTCACCATCCGACCTTCTCTTTCTCTAAAAACAAGCAAGGCATTGTTCTTCACGGGAAAATTCCCGGTCTCTCTGCTTACATAATTTTCAGAGAGTCACAGAGCAACTAGATTTTAGTAATTTCAGGGTCTTAATTTTTAAGAAAGTAGGGTTTGGTTTGTGGACTAGGGTTTAAGGTTTTGAGATTTTTATTTTTCAGTTATTTCACTGTGTTTTATTTATTTATTTCAGAGTTTCTGATTTTAGGGCTTGCATGCTGATTTTGGGATTGCATACTGTGAGATTTATTTTTATTTGAATGTATTGCATCTCATGATAAACTAGGATTCAATAGGTGTAAAGATTTCATGTTTATTTTATTATTTTATTATTTTATTTTATAATTATTATTATTTATTTATCTCCCCTTGAATTTTCAAGAAAAAAATTGATATTGCTGCCAAAAAAAAAAAGAGAAAAAAAAGAAAATCATATACTTTAAATTCCTTGATACAATTTATGTTTTATATTTTTGGATCTTTTGGTATTGTGAAATTTTATTTTTATTGCTTTATTTTGGATGTAATTTTTGACACTCATGATTTATTGTGCCACTCAATATACGGTGGAGATACTACCTCCGAGCCATCTTTTGGTATTGTGAAATTTTATTTTTATTGCTTTATTTTGGATGTAATTTTTGATACTCATGATTTATTGTGCCACTCAATATACGGTGGAGATACTACCTCCGAGCCGTTTGATTTTTGCGACCACAGCTTTGGGCAGTTGATTAGGATCCAAATAATGGTTCTCATTATTTTTTTCTATTGTTTTTTGTTTATGAGATGTTATATGTATATTTTCTCTGTTGTGCCCAGTAAAGAAACTTCATTGACATGCTTCAATTGGATGAATGAAGTTCCTTTATCCAGTATGGTTGACTAGTCTTCAATCAATGTTATATCCTGCTTTAATTTCCTCGCTTACTGCAATTAGTTTGTAGAATATTGCTATCATGTATATAGAGTGTAGATTCCTTCTTCTTACCATGTGGCCTTTCTCTCTCATTTGTTTGTATTTCATAAGACGACGTTTGTGGTAACCTTTTTGATAGGGATGTATATTTATCTTTTCTGATATACTTCTGTGGTTGCAATTTCAAGTAGTATCTTCCATTCCTAAGTTATATGGGTATAAGATCAAATTTCAATCTCAACTGTACATTTATAAGAAATGCATTAGATAGTTTGCAGCAAGAAAATCTTATTCAAAATATGCATTTTGCACATCTTATCAATGAAATACATAATGAAAAAAACAGGGAGTTTCTAACTTTCTCAATATCAAACAATAGCAACACTGCAGTTTATCAAACAGGGTTCCCAACTTTCAAGCTACCAAGTTTCACTTTCCTCCTAGATTCCAGGAAAATATGCAGCTCGTATTTTCCTAGGGCAACTGCAAAGAAAATTATCAAACGCACCTTGAAAGATTTTGAGCATGCACCGTTTTTTGAATTTGGTAAACATGTTCTTTTGGTAAATTTTTTTCAGGTGTTTTACCAAATAAAATTTGAAAATGTCATTTATAGTCACTCTTGAAACCTTGTTTTATTTTTTCAATTTTAGCCTCATCGTCCGAAAAAACAAGAGACTCATCAACTAGAAATAGAACTTACTGAGCTTTTCTCATCGAATATTTTGATATGATGTTTCACAAACTTCAAGCCCTTTGCCTTTTCTTCATTCAAAACTTGATCTGCCCAAGAATCCATCTTAACTTGCCAGATGATTTATTCTTCTTCTTGAGAAATTCCTATATCTGCATCAAACTTAAGAAGAGAAGTAGAAAAAGACTCTTCTTTGATTATAGGCATCCAGTTTACAGCATACTTGTTCATAATTAGTTTGTAATCAAATCCAAAGCTTCCTTTTCTGATATTTCTGTGAACTTTGAACAAGCACAGTAATACTTTGGGGCAAGATAGAGTTCAAATAAGGCATAGAAATTTTGGGAGATTACTGTAAAATACACATCCCCATGATTCTATTAAAGAAATTAGATATGCATCTAAAAATATCCATTCTTTTCTATTATTTTTTTGTTTTGGAAAAATTGGAAGATCATGAACATCCAAAGGTATTATCAGATCTTTTTCTTTCACATATGATACTCTTTTTTCATGCCGTAAAAATTATATTTCGAGTAAAGGCCTGCCAAAATCTGTTTTACTTGGCTCCTCCACATGAAAAATGATACTATTGATATACTCATAAACCATTTGTGCCAAATTGTTTGTAATAAATCAAACCTGAATCCCACCATGTTTAGCTGTCCAGTAACTCCTATGGGATATGGGCTCACAATTTTCGATATTTAGAGCAAAACGAGTATGAACTCAACAACGAGATGAGAGATAAACAATATAGTCGACATTGAATACTGTATACGAATAGTGGGATAAAACAAGAGATATCGTGAAGCCAAACGATTGAACCTATAGGCTCTAATATCGTTAGGTACATGGTGGGGTACTTTTCCCACAAAATATAGTGACAGGGGACTGGCTATAGGATATCTCGACTCCAATATTGTTAGGTACATGATGGCGTGCTTTTCCCACAAAATATACAAAACTTCTCTCTGGCAGCAAGAGAGAAGAACGAGGCCAAGTCACATGACTTGCCTCAAACAAGTCACAAATATTCAGTAAAGCCAAAGGATTGAACCTATAGGGCTTTTTTTCATTTTTAATTTTTTATCTTATGATCCTAGTTGGCATAGTAGTCGGGGGGTTAGATGGTTAAGGGTGTGAGCTTGTAGAAACTAGGGTTTGCTCTCTCTTTGCTTGGAGCTCAAGTTTTCTAGTAAGAGCTTCCTTGTACCATCCTGTTCCCTTGTTGTTTTGGCCAGATTTTGACAATCATGGCTATTTCATCTCCAGATTTTGATGGATTCATCCCCTTGTTCCCTTTTTAACCCCATATTAGGTAAACACATTGATGAGATGTGACAGTTGTGGTTATGGCATACCAAATCTCAATTTCATAGGCTATTGGCTCTTTTCCATTCATAGCTCAACTATTCGTTGTTTTAATGTGCCTATGTTTGTTTCCTTTTTCCAGTGTGGTTCATACATGACTAAAAGGGGTTACATAGGTGTTTAACACAAATCTGGAGAAGATCTCGAGTGAGATCCTCTTTGATCCTCACTTAAACTGGTTAATTTAAATCAACAGAGAAGGTGGCCTCTGTCAAACTACAGATCACAATAATTTGGCTTTATGGCCTTCTTCCCATGATCCATTGGTAGAGCCGGCTCAAGATTGCATAGAATCCAAGGAAAGAAACCAGGAAAATTGAAAGAAATAGAAAAGAAATAATTCTCAAAGAAAGTATCCTGGAATTTTTTTATTTAAAAAAGAAAAGAAATAACTACTTATTTGGAAGCGAGTTCCTCAGATTCAGCACTTGGACTTGGTGGCTTGTATTATTCTAGCTATTGAAGCATCTTCATCCTCAACCCTAGCAATTATTTGCTTCAATTTGAGAAGCTTTTACCTAGGGCGTGTTTTTTCTAGGGCTTTTTGGTTCGTAAGGTGTTTATTATATGATGGTTCATTGGCTTTAGGGTTTAATGGCCTAGGTTTCTATGGTTTCAATACCAAGAGGGGTGTATTCTAGACTAGGGTTTTGAGTGGACGATGGCTCTCTAGGTTGAAGGCCTTTAAGATTCTAAAGTTATGGATTCTCAAGTTATGCTCTAAAAGGCGCCACAAAGAGTTTTGTATAGGTGTCAATAGTTGACTTGTTCTTATTAGAATAGTTCTAGGGTCTCTAGTACTTTTAGGCTCTTAGAGTTCTAGGTTTAATGAGTTTAGAATTCAAAACTCTAGGGCTACTTGGGTTTCTCAAAACCTCTTCTTGTCTCTACCCAAATTGCACCGGAAGTTTTCAATGTACAAATTAGACTCCCACTAAGATATAATCGGCTTTTCAAAGTTTTTTAGAGGTTAGTAGGTGTTGCGACATGATGCGTGTCACTAAACCCTTAGTGCTTAGCGATGCGCTCCAGCCTCCTCCCGACAGCCATAGATCTTGTTGAGTCAAGCGGTGGCGGTCCCATCCAAGCATTCTTTTGGGGTTTTGATATGGGTTTTCTTTTTTTTTGTGGGTTTTATCCTGCTATTATGGATAAGATTAGATATATTTAAGATAAAGTTGGATGGATTTGGTTATATTTGGGTGATTTAGTGGTTTTCTAGATACTACAAGTTATGATACACGAGGGTTTACTAGGCTAGCATGGTCCCTAGTATGGAGTGGCAAGTCTATCGACAACATGCGCGGCAGTGGCATACAGCTTCGGACCTAAGTGGGCATCCTTAACCTCTGTGGGATCCCCGCACCGCGTAGCTATGGTGAGAGGCTTCTGGCTTCTTGTCCAGGGACGGAGGTCCTATAGTAGATAGTGGTAGAAACGAACACTAAACTGAGACTAACAGCGTGATTACTCCATCGTAGGACATCCGGAGCGGGGTAAGAGAGGACCAGACAGACCTTTGAATGAGGTTGTTTTTGGATTTCTTGTCCGGGTACTGCAAGACTAAAGGCATCTAAGTTTGCTTCTATCAAGCCCTACGACGACTGGTTGATTGATGCTACCTAAAAGTGGGTGTGATCGACCAGGGACTGAGATATGACTGGAATGTTAAGAGATGTGGGTCTTTGAGAACTCCCTTAGCCAAACATTAGAGGGATGTCTACAATAGGGAATGAGAGTCTTAAAATGGAATAAGTCTGTTCGATGTTGGAGACATTAGACGACACCAATTTTCTACCCTTTTAATATGAGATAAGTTATGATGTTGGAGACATCAAACTG